GCAGAAAAGTCAATAATTTAGCGAAGGCATTTGGCTTCAAAACAGCTGATGTGTATATTAAATTTGTATCTGATAATAAACAAAGCCTTTTTAAAAAGAAAGCAAAGGAACAAGATTATGTAAGGAGATTAACCTCCAAGGAGTTCAGGTTTCATATTGTTTTTAAAAGCATAAACATTTTTCCACAATGCTGTTTGACTTGAAAGAGCTTTTACTTGCACAGATAAACAAATACACTTAAGTGCCAGTCACTGCTTTAAAGCGAAAGCCAAATTAAATGTGAGGTGGTCTTGCAGTGCAACCTTCAATGCACAGAAGGGATTGTTTAAGAGGAAATTCAGTTCCCTGAGGGCCAGTGGAACTCTAAAATATACATATACCTTTTTCTTCTTAATAAGAGAAAGTGACTAGACTTCAGCCAAAAGTGACCATGGGACACTTTCCCTTGTGATTTTCTGGAACAAGAACCTCACTCCCAAACATCATTTGAAAAATTCTGTCCATTTCATCTCTCTTCCCCGCACCCAACGTACTGTAAATGCGAGAGCAGTTGAACTCTGTACGTAATTCAAAGCTGGCATATGATTGAGTTATGCTATCCAGGAATCTCTCAGATTAATTTAAATATTTATTGACAGAAATAAAGTCAGAACAAATTGACATTTGATATAATCATCATTATCATCATAAACTCAGAACTGCAATGCTGGAAGGGACCCTATGGATCACTGAGTCCAGCCCCTATCGAGGAGGCACAGTGTGGAATTGAACTCCCAACCTCTGGCTCCACAGCCATGTAGAACAAATAAGATTTTGAATGTCCTAATCTCGCAAGATATTTTGCTGACTGAGGCAGGGCCATCTTGGCAGCATTCCTCTCATGCACTATACAGAAGGTGACTGGACAGCTAGCTTAATCTTCCTCCAAGAGTGACGTTGAAACATTATCCTTTACCACATCTGATAACAGGGGGCCTGTTCAAAGGACCAAGGCAGGCAACTCTATCCTTCAACCAGAGGTACAGCCAGGCGGTTCAGCAGTGACTCCTGTTGCTCTCTCCCAACATCAGCCTCACTCTGCCTAGTGACAGGGCCGGCCCTGAGCTAACCTTAGTGATATGACTACTGCCCATTTCTTCTTTCCTAATCACTCTCTTCTTGAGAGTAAAAACTAATGAGATACCCAGCTTGCGTTCAGAAGGTGGTGCTACATTTTCCCTCCAGTGACTGGAGCTGCATGTTTCAGCAACCGGGCCTGCAAATTAAGATTGTGTCTACCTTTTAATGACTAGCCACAACATTTTTGTGTTGTATAGACATGTTAAATGCAACATTCAGAGGAGGATAAAAGTCCTGCCAGAACAGATTCATTTGCTACCTAAAGGACTAAATGGGAGCTAAGTTTGCCATCTAGTTTGATCCTAATTATCTTCTAATTCCTCCAACTGTATTTTGCTTCCTCTTCTGAAATTTTCAATGGATTATTCTCATCCAACTCTCATTCTAACTACACCCACTATCCTATTATAGTCTGCTCCTGTCACTCATTCTCCCATTCATTCTTTTGTTACAGTCTAACTAAAATTCATATGATTTACTTCTGAGTAGATATATATATAAGATTGCACTGCCCAAGGGTTATCTCATCAAGATAAGATTCACAGCATCCTAGCTTGCTGGAAATCAGGCCCCAGAGCAAACATTTCAAAAATATGCTATTATGTAGAGATAGTTCTCAGAAAGGTAGAAATGTTAGTCTATTTCAGCAAAAATAAAGGGGGTGGGTGGGGTATTGTGATGCCTTTGAGGCTAATACATTTAATATAGTGTGAGCTGTCAATCTACTTCTTCAGACAATTTAAGTATAGAGAGAGCTCCCTTTTCCCTGATGTATATGTTTGCCATGTTAAGAAAGGTTTTGATATTACAGCACCTTCAGATAAGCAATCCCCGTGTGCATTCTAAGGTCATGGAGTCCCATTAGGTGCTACCCAGTGAACCTCTGCATGTTTAAATGTGTGTTTTTTTGCATCGGGATGTGAACACAAGTAGAGCATGTACAGTACATTTAGCTCCTTAAGGGATTTTAAAGAGAAATCAAGGGATGCAGAAACTTTAAGGCAGAGTATGCAGATTATTATTTCCATGGTTGGTGCACTGCTATGATTAAACAAATGAATAAATAACAATAGAATGAAATCATCACAGGCTTGCTTGATGGATGTGTCAGAAGCTCTGCATCCAAACACTGAGCATATTGAATCATCATGACAATGGCTAGCCCCATTTGTGAGAGGCTTGTTCCAGTACATCTAAACAGGCCATATGATCAGACTGGTGTGTCTCAAGGATGAAGTTGGGAAGGGGCTCACCCCCAAAATTTCAAAGGGATGCTCTTATCACAAACTACTAATATCCTTACTTTCTGATGTCCCTTTCATGCGAAGAGTGCTGACATGGCATCCACTGCTCATACTGACAGGAATTCATAATATAACGTACTTAATTACCTTTGACATTAGAAAAATAAATAAATTACTAGCAATGGTTTTTTGTAGCTAGTAGCTTCCACCTTCTATAGTAGCACCGCCCTCCACGTCTGTAGGACGAAAGGCTCCCCATCCCTGATTTTGAAATTCTTCCATCCATGATATAAGATGCCCACAGACCCTATGAGCAACATTTCCATATTGGAGTCGGCTGTGAAAGTGCACCTATCCCTTCTATATCCATGGCTATATAGAGAGGGTAGGGCAACATACCTACAGTTGTGTTTCTCTTAAAACAATGGCCTTAGGATGAAAAGGGGGCATTAGCCTTTCAGTAGTGTTAAGAGGTGTAAAACCAGAGAGGACTGTCCTTCCATATGAGCTAATATAAGCAGAAATTGAACTATAGTGTGGGCTTCATTTTCTCTGTTTTAAATATGATTATCAGCATGAACAGAGAAGCCTAGGGTAAGCAGTGCAATCTTATATATATATCTACTCTGGGTATTCACTGAGAAGTATACATACAGATATAATAAAATGGCCGTTAACAACAGCCAAGCAAGTGTGTAGAAGTGTAAAGCCCTGATTCTCTTCAGATGAGGCTTATGGAATAGTGGAAATAAGTGGATTGTTGCAGGAGGCAACACAACTGCGAACACTTTCAACAAAAAAAGCAATTGCACTCTGTGGTGTTCTATGCTGTAAAGTCAGAACTAACTTATACTGACCCTAATAAGGTTCAAATCCCCACTTGGTCATGGAAACTTACTGGGGGATTGAAACTGGTAAAACCACTCCTTAAATGTCTCACCTTGAAACCCCTATTAGGGTTGCTATAAGTCACACATATGCGCACATGCGCATGCACACATGCACACACATGGGTATTCAAGGAAACAGAGGCATATAAGGACACGTTTTACCAGTTTCACACCACCAATGAGTTTCCATGTATTCAAGGAAACAGAGGTATATAAGGACTGGTTTTGCCAGTTTCACACCACCAATGAGTTTCCATGGCAGAGCTGAGGAATCAAATCCAGGTCTCTTGACATTTTTTTAAAAAATACAAACCTCTAGCTGCTCTACTAGGGGTGAAAATATCCAATATCCACAGCTGCCCAATATGGCTATACGGACCAAGTGAAGTGGCATAAAAGTGCAAGTTTCCAAGTTCTTCAGTACTTTTTATCTGGGAATGAGGTACAAAAAACTCCCCTGATTGAGCCATCTTTGTGTTCTGTGCCATCAAGATCTGGCATTGAGGTACAAAAAACTCCACAGGGATACTTAAGGTTGAGCCATCTTTGTGTTCTGTGCCATCAAGTCAGAACAACTTACAGCAACTCTAATAGGGCTTTCAAGATAAGTAAGATATTTAAGGAATTAATTTACCAGTTCTACTCCCTCAGTGAGTTTCCATGGCCAAGTGGACATTTAAACCCTATTCTCCAGAGTCCTAGTCCATCACTCTATCCACTATATCACACTGGGAACTCTATGGTTGAGCCATCTCTGGCAAAATGAAAACAACGTATTCAGCTTCCAACTATGTCTCAGTCCAAGGTCAAGCTGCCAAATCCTTCCCCACACACAGAAACAGCACAAAACACTGGTTGTTCTCAGACCCCTACACCGAAGGTCAATTGTCCATGAACTGTTGCGGCATTTTGTTCAGCCCTGGATCACCCACGAAGTGGCAGACTTGTTCATAAGAAGTAAAAGAGCCAACCTCTTGCTAGGTCTTGCCTTACACCTGTCATTGAAGGTGAGCCCGCTACAGAATTCTCTTAGTTCTATAATATTTTTAGAGGTACTATTTGGAAAAGTAACTTTTAGGATTGCAGACAAATCGTGAAATTCATCTAAAAATAACTGTTTCACAGGGGATGTTGCTGACTTCAGAGTAGAAGGCACTTGATTGCTCTTAGGTAGATCAATATTTTTTGTGTGTGTGTCACCAAGGGGTGCAAACAGCAAAACAAACAAAAATATTGCTGCCTGAACAATACATCAAAGTGGAAATGCCTTGTAAACACTTCTCTTCCAGTTGCCCTAATGATCCTCAAAGTCTCACTAATTGGGTAGGCTTTGGCTTCATGCTCAGGAAAATCTGACCTGCATTCAAAAGGCTCAGCAGAGGAAATTAACACAGTCCTATGGACTTCACTGTAAATGTGCAAAGGAAAAACTGTCATAATGGGCAAGTTTTAACTTTGGTATGCTATGTTGGACTATTTCTTACTGTCTATTTTAATGTAATTCTCAAGTCATCCTAAACTGGTTACAATACCTTTTTGCATTCCTGATTCTAAAGGCACTAATCAGAACTAATCTCTGTTACCATTTATGTGACATTGACTTTCAAGTAAGTCTAATTAAGTACAGTATTCAGCTTTAACTAATACATGTTCCTGTAGGGCAATGATTACAAAAACAAAAACCTTGTGGAATTCTGGAAGTCTAAAGGTCTGATTAGATAACCTTCTGTTCTTTCTCTGAACTCAGGAAGAACAAACAGAGTGACAGACACAGGTGCGCCTTCCATGGTGCCTGAGGCCCAAATCAAATAAATCCTTTTCCTGGTCTTCACAGCAGTCACAGAGGTGAGAAAAACTAGAGGTACCAGACATATTAAGCCAAATGGTCCTAGGGAAAGGCACACACATAATCAGCGTGATATCTCAGTGGCACATCCCCTACCCTGTTTTCCTCCCAGGGTGGCAAATCTGCAATAAAAAAACAACTCCATGAACAAAGGAGGAGATGTGGATTTCTGGTAGGCAAGGATCAGCCTTTGAAAGTTTCAATGATTGCTGTTGTTTTGATGGACAAATTGGTTTATAGAGTTAAAAACACGTATTACCTCTCTCAGTTTCTGCCTGCTCAGCTTGGGGTGCATGTGTGATTTCTCATGATGTTGAATACAAGACATGTCTCTTTATTCCCCCCTTACAAGGAGATGGACCTGAAAGGGCTACACCACCAATCAGTTGAGGAAAGTACTAAAGCCTAAAGGAGGGAGACTTGAATATTAACTGATTAAAGAACCAGTGGTTAATTTAATGACTGCTGTGGTGTAATCCCTACCTTTTGTATTGTATTAGTTTTCTCACTGCATTTGTGTCCTTGCCTTTGTTACATGATTAATTTGTTCAGTATATTTATAGGGTTTATTTTTAATACCCCTCCTATTATAGTTATTCTTTGAAAAAACACAGTAAAATATTTTTTTAAAAGACTGGTACTCAAAGAAGGAACACTGTAAGGAATCACAGTGATTAACAATGGCTGCACTTCTATACCAGCTTACTAAGAGTAAGCACTGCTGCTCTAAGTGCAATGCACTTTTCTCTGTGTGTGCATGCAGATGCACACATGCATGGGTATGCAAAATTACTTTCATATGAACATGCTAGTCTGTCTACCCCAAGAGTAGAAATCCAGCCAAGGTTGGGCTGGCTCTTCCCATTGAACCACCAATGTTGTATTCCAGTGCCTGTAAGTGATGGAACTATCCACCAAAATAAATGTCTGCAAAACTCAGTCCAATGTGGTCAATAGAGAAAAATCAGGGCTATTCACATGTAATTCTTCTGAAAGCAGTGGAATCCTACTGATCACTAGTTTTGCTGAGGAGAAAAAGAGTAGCTATGGACCAAATCCAACCCCTCATGTATCTTCTAGATCAATAGGACTATAACTTATTTGTTGTTTTGGCTTATAATGTCAAATTTCAGGATACAAACTCCACACCTGGTTTCCTCTCCAGGTTGAGGTACACATGGAGAAGTTTGCTTTTAAGTGCAAATGCATTAATAGCTCCACCAGAGATGGTTTTTATAGCTGCTGACAGAATTGTTGCTCCTTTCCAGTTATTCCTTCTTGGAATACCACTGCACATATGGAATTCCCCCTTTTCCAAAACAATAGCATCCCCCTTCATTTTAACAAAGAGAGCAAAGTGATTATTATAATGAGTTAGACATAAGGTATCTATAGTTAATGAATGAATGAGCTTTATTATAGTCACTGACCAGCAGGTATATCCAATGTAACTATGACACATAATACAATGAAAAGTAGCATAAGGTAGCAATAACAATATCACATGTACACATTTTTAAACATTTTCAAAATGCCCATCATCCTTGTGGACACCAGAGCAGTGTACAAATATATTTTAAACAATAAAACATAATTAAAAGAGGGTTTTGAATTATCTAGTTACTAAGAGGTGCACTACCCCCCCCCGCCAAAGAGAAATGTCCCAACAGGGTGCAGCAGGGATGTTTCTGCATTTCCAGAACAGGTACAGTGCAGTTCAAGAAGTCCTAAGTTGCCCAGGGGTCAATTAGTACCTTACTTTAAATCACTCAGGTTTGATCCAGCATTTTACGAGTTAGAAATGTTGTAATTTGGAGACACGGGGATGGCACTAGGTGCTCAGAGGAAAGAAGAAGAAAAATGTACAGGCAAAGCCCCAATGAAAGCCCTTTCAGCCCTGCTGTGACATATTCTGTTTGACTTAACACCAGTGTACATAAGTACAGTAATGGGATTCTGGCCACCAGACTCTGAATTAAGGCATAAAAACTCCAAAAAAAAAAAAAAGCCACTAGAAGAAAAAAAGCAGCAAGAACAACAAAATAAAACCTGCCAGTTAAAATGTCTTAGCAAATGCCAGCATTTTATGTTGGCACTGAAATAATTGTTGATACCAGTTGTAACTCCAAGGCTCTTTTTCTTGGAGAAGCACAATATATATGAGGAAGCTCTTGGAGAAGAGTGATGATATAAATACTTCTTTATTACAATTTCTGGTGGCAACACATTAGTTCATTCAACCATACATTTCGTTGTGGTAGCCTTACTGCGAGTCACTTTTATTCTGTTCTGTTGAAAGGCTGGATGTTTTTAAACATTTATGAAGAGTGAAGACAGCCTGTAAATACCATTAAAATAAATAAAATATTAAATTAAATTAAATATTCCTCATTTATGTTGGTGTTATCAAAGGTCTTCCATGTTGCTGATCCAAGTACAGTACATCAGAACAAAGAGGCTTAAACATAATGCATTTAAATACACTGCAATTTCCTGGGGTTTTAAAAGTTCTCTTTTCAACAGTTTTCAAAAGAATGAACAGAATGTGGATATTTCTTCAGACCCTTCAATTTAAACAAACACTTAGAATATAAATGCTGACGGTTATTAATATGGTCATATTAATGTCTTATCTTCCAAGTAGGTTAGATGTCTCTGGAATAGTAGGATGCATAGAAAGATAAACACATTGCAAAAGCAAAAATGATGTCCAGCAGGGTTCATTTTGCTGGATATTCATTTTGGAAGAGTTTTCTAGTTCAGATCTCTGCATGTGTACAATTTTAAGTAAAAACTAAGACCTAAAAGAAATTTAGTTCTCCATCAGAATCTTCCCAAACACCTAAATTGTTCTAACAAACAATTGAGAGTGATCCACATATGTTGACACTCATGAGACTTATTCCCTAGCAACAGCACAAAGCTATACATAACAATTCACGTACAGTATAAGTCTCTCTGAACTCAATGGTGCTTATATAAAAACCAGTAAATACAGGTTGCAATCCTATATTAGTGCAATCCTATATTTGTCTATTCAGCAGTAAATTCTATTTTGTTCAATAGGGCTTGAAAACAGCATTACAGCATCGGTATGCTTTAAACTGCAGACCTAGCAAGGTTATAGGAAGTGTTTCCTGGTGTAACTGCTGCTGAGATATACTAGATCAGGGGGTGCTGTTGTTGATGTTCTTGTTGTGTGTTTGAATGCTCTCTTGCATTTTCATTCTCCTTGTTCTACAGAAAAAGGTGAGTGATCTGTAGAGCTGCCAGATCCTATGCTTCAGTTGAAATCTCAATAAATTGTTGTGCCTTTCCCGGTATCCAGATGGTGGGAAAAAATCAATGGCAAGCAGCAATGGAAGAGAAGAAATGTTTATTTTTGTGTGAGGTGACTCTAAAGTCTAGGCACCTATTCCTAGCTGGCACCAGCACGCACTAGCATGGAAGGAAGATGGTTTTATATGTGTAATGCTTCCTTCCCTCCCAACACTTGTCTGCCTGCCTCTCTGACATTACAAGCAACCACATCTGTCCTCAGGTTTTGTTCCTAAAATCTCAGGGAATGTGGTGTTGCTGACTTAGCAAGACTGATCTGTATAGGAAAAACAGGATACCATGCTGTACCCTCACGTGGTGTAGTGTGTAGACCAGTGGTTCTTAACCTTGGGTTACTCAGGTGTTTTTGGACTGCAACTCCCAGAAGCCTTCCCCACCAGCTGTGCTGGCTGGGGTTTCTGTGAGTTGCAGTTCAAAAACACCTGAATAACCCAAGGTTAAGAACCACTGGTGTAGACTACAACTCAAGAGAACTGGGCTCAAATCCCCATTTGTCCATAGAAACTCACAGGGTGTGTATCTATGGAATTAGTAAAACCACTCCTTAAAGTTCTCACTTACCTTGAAAGCTACATAAGAGTTACTATAAGTTAGTTCTGACTTGACAGTGCATAATGCACACACACTCATAGGAAAAGCAAATTTTATTCCACATATATGTGGTTTCAGCTTCTCAAGAGCCCACATTCTCACACAAGGGTGTAAAAAGATACACCTTGCTGTATATCTTTGCTTTGTCTGATTTCTTAATATTCAAAAACATAATAGAGTGTGTTTTCCATCTGCTGCAGGTATCAGTGTTCACAACAAACACTTTATCAAATATAAGCTGGTGTGAAACTATGAAGAGAAGACAAATTTCTTCTGAGGTTGCTGAATGCCTTGTGAAATGACTCTGTCATTCAGTGCAGCGATTATGGCACTAAACATTTTAAGCTATGTTGTACTTTGCTTTGTTTCATTTTGTACAGAATGACAATAATATTAAATCAAGCCATGAAAAGATTCTTTGTTTTGGAGTGGGCCATTTTACAATTAAATCCACCTCTGATTATTCCTGGCTTAACTTGCTTTCCCCTACTATGTGATCCAGATAAACATTCCTCAGGGCAGTTTCTCATCTTGATGTTTGCTACCCTGGCTTTGAGAATGTGTTTCAGTGCAGCATTGACTTAAGATGAGTCTTTCCAGGAGAAGGTGAAAACTGCAATAGTTGCAGAGGAGACAAAAAAAAGTAATGCATCCTGTTTGATAATAATAATAATAATTTTAAACTAATCTGTATGTTTGAGAGTGTTTCTGTCATAACTCCCAGACAATAAAACCTAAAAACTCAAAACCTGGTATGGACACTTATGAGACCCTAGGGGTGTGTCCTGTGGTTACTTGTTTCCAATGGATTAAGTAATTATGTATATCACTTAATAGACGGTAGATGGTAAGCAATGAAAGATGCTAAAGCTCAGACTGAAATAAATCAATCTTTAAAGTACCACAACTCTTTAGACTTTATTTTTGCTTTCCATGATAAAACAGACTAGCACAGCTACCACACTGAAAATATTACTGATTTTTAAGTGATTTTAGTTAATTAACATTTGTTTATAGCCTACAATA